AAATCCAGTCAAAAAATATATACTAACTGGTGTTTATTGATAAAAATGCAAAATGCATTTCGTGCAGGTGTTTTTCACATGATCTCTGTAGTCAAAATATTATTTGTTATTGTTGTAAAGATAACGGGATGAATCCTTTCCCATGAGAAAGAAAATCCTAACAGTATATGCTGATGAGTTTGGAGTTCAAAGAGTGGTCATTCAGCTACTAATTGCTCATTCTAAGCTAGTCAATATCTGACTGCACAGAATGTCAGTCAATGAAGGTTACTTCTGTCTCAAACTGGTTACCTGCTGAGTGTACTGTTCCAAAGCTTCCAGTGTTTAGTTAATTAACAAACAGCCTTTCCCTTTTCCTTCTTAGAAGCAGCAAAATACAGACGTTTCTAATTTCTCCCATCCCACAACAAAGACAATCTGTGTATTTGTCCACATGTATTTGTATATACTTGTATGGTAGGTTGTTTTTTTTTTAAACTCCTTATAGTATCCTATGAGGTGGTTCATGGCAAGTTCAAATTCTGAAACAATGGTATTGCTGTAATAACAAATGCACTGAGAAGCCTCAACAGCCTTCTGTTCACCATGGCACTATTACAGAATCAGCCCTTTGGAGATGACATTCTAAAGAACTCAGTGTACTGTCATCTGCTGTAGAGGGAAGAGCAAATGGCCTTGAAGGACAGGAGGAAGAACCACTACCAAGGCAATGGTCAGATTAAAGGGGGCCTGAACCCAGGCCAAGAAAGTAACCTGAGTAAATGGCTCAGAGTAGCCCCTTTCTAGTTCATACGAAGATAAAGGAAAGGAAGGGGGAAGCACATTCAGACTTGCAAGATTCGGTTACTATAGCTTTACAATAAAAGTAGTACTGACCTACATGGTATTGGGTTCTTAATCTGGTCTACCTTGAAGGGTTGACATGTGCTAGCAAAGTCTGACAGTGTTGCATGGCAACAAACTCAGTGAGAATAGCATGTTAGGAAAATTGCAAGGATTTTTTTCCCTAGCTGGGCTGAATGAAAGACCAAATAGGAGCTGGAAGGTAGAGGAAAGGGCAGGCGGGTCCTCTTTGTACAATAACAAATGGCTATAACTTTTTGTATTATGCATTTCATCTGCTTCTGAAGCAAAGGAAATAAAATGCAAACAGGCTTCCTGAGATAAGGAGTTTGAGATTTTGGAAATTTACATTACGTTACTATTGGTTTGCAAAAGAAAGACATATACAGACGAAGAAGCAGGGAAAACCGGACCTCAAAGTGCCCACTGAAGCAGGTGACTGCAGTATTTGCCATATTGCAATGAAAAGACTATAATGAAAATGTAAAAGTTTTAATACTATCGGAGCCTAAAGCACTTTGAAATAAGCATATCAAAAGCACTCTTATTTTCCCCCTACCTGCATATCTATATATAGTTCATTAAAGCTCTATTTTAAGCTCTATGCATGTGTGGACATGAGGCTGATTTATATATACATCACTTTTAAGTTAAAACCTATGCAATGCATATTAACTGGTTACTTGGCAATGCGTGTAGATGCTTGTAAAAAGTCATAGTTTGTTTAGTTGTCATTTTCTGTATCAATGGCCTATGAAATCCAATTTTCTTTTTCCAATAGTATTAGATGAAACAAAATAAATTCCAAACTGCTCTAATGCAGACACAGGATACCTGTATCAAGCATATTAATCTCAAAACTGCACCATTTCTCTGTGTCCCTGCACATCCATCCTTGTGGTAGTGCATGTACACAAGCACAGAGGGCCCAGGATCACAGCAATTGTTCCCAAAAAGTTTTGTTCAGAGAGATGAGTTCCACCAAAAGAAAAACTCCTTCAAAAAGCTTTAAGACTACTACCTTTTCTTCCCCAAATCAACTTGGTTTTGTTTCAGTTGTATGAATGAATAAAGTTACAGAGTTCGGTGACCTTTCAAGAGCAAATCTTTATTGCTCTGCTTAGTAGGACTGCCAGGGTTAAGAGGGCTCTTGGCAAAATGGTCTCTGTGGAGTCCTTGGTGCTCTCTGAGATTGGTGGTTTGATTGCAAGCGTTTCATTATCTGACTAGGTAACATCTTCAGTGCTCAGGCCTAACTCCCTAACAACCCTAACTCCAGTTCAACCCTGAGCTAGATATATTCTCTTCTATTGGTAAGTTTCTAGAAATTGGGTGTCCCCATTTTGATTCCCCGAACACACACACACACACACACACACACACACA